CTCTTACAAACCTAAAAATCAGCATGAGAATTGCTCTTCAGTCCAAGTCAGCTGGTACTAGTTTCCAATGAGTAAAGTTTGGAGGCAAACTTGGCTAATTTGTGTGGCCACAGTTTTGTCCATACATGTCCTATTTGAAAACAAGGCATTATTTCACTAAACTCTGATAGTGATACAATTCATGGAGTAGTCGTAAATCTGAAGACGCACAAACATATACAGAGGAACACAACTCGTACTGGATCACTCTAGCCATTCCCCCAATGCAATAACATAGTCGCTGTCATGTTTCTGAGGTGGCTTCCATGTTCTTTCATTGTTAAAAAGAGAGACGAAACTTGTTACTTCCAAATTAGAGTGAACAGTGTTAATGTGTTAAAGATGCTTGGAGTTTATAACTTCTCTATCACTGTGAGAGTATGACTGGCCAAAGCACACCCCAATGAGATTCACAGGACACCACTACACTACATTTCCTCTGCTAATAATAATAATAATAATCATCATCATCATCAACTTGCAGATTGTGCAAGGAAGCTGATGAAACCATGGATCATATCCTCAGCTGTTGCAAGAAAATCGCACAGACGGATTACAAACAGAGGCATAACTCTATGGCCCAGATGATTCACTGGAACTTATGTCACAAGTACCACCTGTCAGCAGTAAAGAATTGGTGGGATCATAAACCCACAACGGTCATGGAAAATGAACATGCAAAAATACTGTGGGACTTTCAAATCCAGACTGACTAAGTTTTGGAACACAATACACCAGACATCACAATTGATTTCGATGGGGAAGCTCTGGTTCTGTCTGCCACTGTTAAAAGCCTTGGGGTTGTGTTGGACTCATTGCTGACGATGGAGGCCCAGATCACTGTCATAAGTAAGCAGGCCTTTTTTCATCTTCGCCAGGCAAGGAAATTGGCATCCTACCTTTCGGTAGAAGCATTGGCAACAGTAATCCACGCAACAGTCACCACTAGGTTGGACTATTGCAATGCCTTATATGCTGGTCTTCCGAAGTCAACGACCCAGAAGATTCGGATGGTCCAAAATGCGGCAGCCAGGCTGCTAGCGGGATCATCTATAAGATCCCATATTACACCAATTCTGCAACAACTGCATTGGCTACCAATAGAACATCCGATCTCTTACAAGATACTGATCCTGACATTTAGAGCTCAAAATGGCCAAGGACCTTTATATCTTAGGGACCGCCTCATTCCTTTTTCCCCATCAGTGGTCACCTCGATCCACCCAGGAAAATCTCCTCTACATACCGGGTCCTAGGGAGGCACATTTGGAAGCTACAAGGCGTAGAGCTTTTTCGATCAATGCTCCAATTCTGTGGAACTCATTGCCTCCATATATTAGAGCAATGTCGGAGTTGCGACCTTTTGCAAAGGCGCTCAAGACTTGGCTGTTTGGCTGTGCATTTAAGTAACCGGATCAAATTTTGCCATAGTCACTGCTGAACGTTTTTATGTTGAATGTTTTATGTTGAATGTTTTTATGTTGAATGTTTTTATATTGAATGTTTTTATATTGAATGTTTTATATTGTGTATAAACTGTTTTAAATTGTAAGTCGCTCGGAGCACCTTTGTGGAGAGTGACTAATTAAGAAATAAAGTGATGATGATGATGATGATGGTGATGAATTGTGGAAAAGAAAAAAGTCTGGATTATTGATGTCACCATACCAGGTGACAGTTGCATTGAGGAAAAACAACAGGAAAAACTCAGCCGCTATGAAGACCTCAAATCGAACTGCAAAAGCATTGGCATAAACCAGTACAGGTGGTCCCAGTGGTCATTGGAGCACTGGATACCGTGCCAAAAGATCTCAGCCGGCATTTGGAAACAATAAACATCGACAAAATCACGATCTGTCAACCCAAAAGGCCACCTTACTTGGATCTGTGCACATCATTCGAAAATACATCACACAGTCCTAGATGCTTGGGAAGTGTTCGACTTGTGATTTTGTGATACAAAATCCAGCATATAGATCTCATTTGCTGTGACATACTGTGTTTTTGTGTCAATAAATAATAATAGACTTCATTTATATTCCACTCCATTTCCTCAAAGGGACTCAGGGCGGATTCCAAACATAAAAGGCAAACATTCAATGCCCAAATACAACAACAATACATCCATATAACAAAATTTATACAACCCAACATATAAATATGAATCATAACTTAACAAACTAAAATTAAATATTACAGACATAAGAAAAAACATCAAAATACTGGCTGTGGGGATTATTTCATAGGTTTTCAGTTGACAATAAACAGAACATCATATGGTTTTCTAAGTCCAGTGTTAATCCTTCCTATTAGAAGCTTTAATAATTTTCTGGGAAGATGCACAGCAGTGCGCGTGCACGATGGGAGGAAGATTCCTCAGATAAGGTTTCCAGGAATGTAAATTTCCATGAAGCAGAAGAAGCTGGATGTCAGGGCTCTCTATTCCGTCAACCCAAACCAGTGGGAAAGAATCATGCACATTTGCTCTGTGCCAATCAGCTTCATTTTGCTTTAAAATGCTCTTTGGAAGACATGGCAGTTAAAGTAGTGTCAAATTGCATGAATTCTGCAGTGTCAGTGTAGGTGCCTTCTTTGTTATCTCCTTCATGTAATAATGTAATACTTTTGGACCTCTCCACCACATTTTTCTCAAGATGCTCTCAGCTGAAAGAAAGATTATATAGGTAAAGATATCGTTTATTAGACCCATGGTTTATACAAAATGTTTCATCAGCTTTTAAACTATAGTAGATTCACTTCAGATGAAAGCAATGTATGTCTGTTGTGTTGACCTTGTCACGTTGGCAACGGTTATAAGATAAAACAACCTGTATTGCAGCTAAGGGGAGTGCCTTAAGCAGGGTTTTGTCCTGGACCTGGTTCTGTTCAACATGGTTTAGATGAAGGGTTAGAAGGTATGATCTTCAAGTTTGCAAACAACACCAAATTGGGAGGGAGAGCCAATACTCCAGAAGACAGGAGCAGAATTCAAAATTATCTTAACAGATTTGAGAGATGATTGGCCAAAACTAACCAAATGAAGTTCAACAGAGTCAAATACAAGCTACTCCGCTTAGACAGAAAAGGTTAAATGCAAAGATACAGAATAGGGGATGCCTGGCTCAACAGCAGTACATGTGAAATGATCTTGGAGCCAACAACGTCATGCAGCAGCTTAAAAAGCCAATGGTATTTTGGCCTGCTTCAATAGGAGTCTAGTGTCTAGATTCTGGGGAGTCATGCTACACCTCTTTCTACCTTGGTCAGACCACACCTGGAATCACCCTGTGCCCCATTCTGGGCACCACAATTGATGGGAGATGTTGACAAGCTGAAATGTGTTCAGAGGAGGGTGACTAAAATGATCAAGGGTCTGGAGAACAAGCCCTATGAAGAGCAGCTTAAAGAACTGGGCAAGTTTAGCTTGCAGAAGAGAAGGCTGAGAGGAAACATGATGAGGGCCATGTATATATAATATGTGAGGAGGGAGCCCTGGAGACTACCACATGGAAAAATAGCTTCAAACTGCAGGAAAGGAGATTCCACATGAACATTAGGAAGAACTTCCTAATTGTGAGAGCTGTTTAGCAGTGGAACTCTCTACCTTGGAGTGTGGTAGAGGCTCCTTCTTTGGAGGCTTTTAAACAGAAGCTGGATGGCCATCCAGTCTGTGCTTAAAAGCCTCCAAAGAAGGAGCCTCCATCACACTCTGGGGCAGAGAGTTCCACTGCTAAACAGCTCTCACAGTCAGTCACATAGTTCTGTGTATACTCCAGGACCATGCCACTACTGAATTTCAGAAGAAAGTGAAATTCTCATATTTTCACATTCCTATCCACAAATTTATCAAATTCCTTTTTAAAGCCACCACAGCTGGCAACTGTCTCACTATCTTGTAGTGGATAATCCCTCAAATGCCTCAGTCTCTTACCAACCAGCTTCACTGTAATTTCCAGCAACAAACAACAGCTCAAGGAAGCAGAATCATGGAGAAGAGGTGTCAGGCTATCTATCCTAGAATTGTCCCAGAAACATCCCTTCTAATCCCCCAGAAAATGCAAACGCAAAACATCCCACCATTCCACAACACAAATGGGTATTTAAGTACCTTCTTTGACCTTTCATAATGGGCTCCAAGAAATTCCCAATGAGTCATATGGCATGACTGTTTGGGGATGGGGGATGTATTTCAGGGCAGTCCTCCCTTGCGAAAAGTACAAGCCATGAGGGTTCAAAGGTAACATCATTCCACTCACTATCCCTTGTGCCACAACATTCACAGAAACCAGCCAACAAAAGAATTGTCTATAGAATTGATGCTGTTTGACACCACGTTCGCTGCCATGTCTCCATACTATGGAATCCTGAGAGGTGTAATTTGGTGAGGCACCAGGTCCAGCACCATTTGCAGAGAAGGCTAAATACTCTGACAGTCAGGGGCGGCTCAACCCATTATGCAAAGTAAGCATTTGCAGTATAGTTGCTTTTGCCCAGGGGCGCTCTTGAGGCGCTATTGGGGGAAAATAGACCTTTACATATGTAAGTTGTAGTTACTGGGATGTATAGTTCACCTACAATCAAAGAGCATTCTGAACTCCACCAATGATGGAATTGAACCAAATATGGCACAAAGAACTCCCACGACGAACAGAAAATATATATCAGTGATTGGTTGGGGGCGGGGGGGGGGGGGCAAAATACTGTTTGCTTACCGTTGAAAATTACCTAGGGCCGCCTCTGCTGACAGTTTAAGTGATGTGAAAACTACATTAATGCTGTAGTGTAGATACATGCTGAAGCTCTCTATTCAGGTTCCTTTTGTCAGTGCGTTGTTTAACTCAGAGGTTGGAAAAACTCACTCTCTCTCTCTCACTCTCTCTCTCTCTCTCTCTCTGTCTGCGTCAACAGCCTTTTGGACACAGGCCAACCTCCCTCCTTCTCTGTTCTCCCTCCCATTCCCAAACCCTGGAAAACATTAAAAACTTTGTAAAGATTCACATGTCCAAGGAAGAGTTGGGATCTCCCCATGCTGCTTCCACTTTCAAGATTATGATCTTCTTGGACACAGTTTGGACACTCTTCCCCCTCAATTGAGCGGTTTTATGATCCCTCTTTTTCTTTCTCTCCTCCTTCTAGCTGATGGATATGAAATCATAGCATTATCTTCAACCGATGACCATTGCATCTAGTTTGGAGACAAAGAAGTGACACAAGAAGAATACCCGATAATAGCTATCTCCTTGCTCCATCCTCTTCCTGTTGGCTTGACTGTCGCCTTTTTTATTTTGGAAATTTCAGCTGCCATGGAAGCGCGAAGGATTCGGCCAGGCTGACAGAGGGCTTCAGAGCAGCTGAGGTGGAATCTGCGTAAGTTTCCATTTTCCTTCTTCGGTCTGTGTGCACGTTGTTAGACAATGTCCCCCTCCTTCTCTTGAGTCTGGCAAAGTCACTCCATGTGTTTGCAGCTGTTGCATGAATCGCTCTGCATGTTTTCCCCTTCATCGTGTTTCTCGAGCTATCCTAATTTTTTAATTTTTTTGCACAAAGAGAAATAAAAGAGAGTTGGATCTCCATTCTGATGTTTATTATTATTATTATTATTATTATTATTATTATTATTATTATTATTATTATTGGGCCAAGGCACACCAAGCAACCACATGTGATTTTTTATATCAGTAGCAATACTAAAACTTTAATAGGAAAGATGTCAGAGTGCAAGTCTATGGAAGTTTAGCCTTTCCCCTCTGTCATATGGGACTTGCCATAATAAATAAGGATTTGGGGGAAATTGTTTGAATATGATTTACCTGAAACTGAATACAGAAATACAAGTATTTGAAGGGTTGCCTGGTTTACCCTATCAGGAATGTTTTGAAGCTGGACATGTTTCTAGGCATGTTTTTTTGTTATCCTGTATGTCAGTGTTTCTCGACCTTCCTAATGCCTCGACCCCTTAATACAATTACTCATGTTGTGGTGACCCCCAACCATAAAATCATTTTCATTGCTACTTCATAACTGTAATTATGCTGCTGTTCTGAATCGTAGTGCAAATATCTGATATGGAGGGTGTATTTTCATTCACTGGACCAAATTTGGCACAAATACCCAATATGCCCACATTTGAATACTGCTGGGGTTGGGGGAGATTGATTTTGTCATTTGGGAGTTGTAGTTGCTGGGATTTATAGTTCACCTACAATCAAAGAGCAGTCTGAACCCCACCAGCAATGGAATTGAACCAAACTTGGCACGTTGAACTCACATGACCAACAGAAAATATTAGAAGGGATTGACCTTGAGTTTTGGAGTTGTAGTTCACCTACATCCAGAGAGCACTGTGGACTCCAACAGTGATGGATCTGGACCAAACCTGGCACGAATACTCAGTATGCCTAAATGTGAACATTTAGTTTGGGGGAAACAGACCTTGACATTTGAGAGTTGTAGTTGCTGAGATGTATAGTTCACCTACAATCAAAGAGCATTCTGAACCCCACCAACGACAGAAACCCCATGACCAACAGAAAATACTGTGTTTCTGATGGTCTTCGGCGACCCCTCTGACACCCCCTTGTGACCCCTCCAGGGGTCCTGACCCCCAGGTTGAGAAGCACTGCTGTATGTGAAAGACATATTTTATAAGCCAGTGGTTCCCAACCTTTTTATTTTTTTTTGGATCAGGGACCACTTGACCAGGGACCACTCGCCAACATTAGTACCAAAAGGGTTACGAATCAGTTTTTGGTCAACTTTAGATTCAGTTTGGTTATTTGGGGTGCTGATTCATAAAACTGCATTGAATAGACCACATCAACTCCAGTTTCTGATACAGAACATATGCCATCTAGTAGTCGCCATCTGCTTGGCCACAGAAAACCATATTTAATAATCTAGAGCTGATGTGGTCTATCCAAGGGGCAGGGCTGGTCAGCGACAGGGAAGGAGTGGCAGGCGGCACAAAAGGAGCGGAAGTAAAATAAATTACATAAATTAAATAAATAAAGAGGAAAGAGGCTCACAGACCAGATTTTCATCCTTGTGGTCCACTGAGGGCTCATGCCACACAGGTTAAGAACCACTAGTCTAAGCAATGAATAAGTGACTACTACTACTAGACAAATTTCTAGCTCGAAAACATTCTAGATAGTTATTTTATTAGCACTTACCAAAATGTCATGCTGAAACAACCAGGACAAGAGCCTGGCATGCACATATAGCTTCATATCTAATCAATGTTTTAAAAGAAAACAACAGGGACATAGGCTTTCTTCATAAAATTGTTATTTAGAATGGTGGAAGTCAATTTTGAAGACAAAAATGTCACTTTTCAGGAATGGTGTTTGTCTTTAAGAATATTTTCTGCCCCTGTCTGAACCAAGCAGTTCCTATGGATTTCTTAATAGCAGATCTAAGGAAGGACTTCATGGGAAAAGTCTGCTCTGTGCATACACTTTGTTCCTTAAAGTTTGTCTTTGAGTTTCTCATTTGATGGTAAAAGGACTCCCAAGTTTTCTTTCTGACCATTAATGTATCATAATACAGTCAGCCCTCCATGTTTGCTGGGGTGAGGGGCACAGCCTCCCTATGAATGTGGGGAAAACAATCAATAAGACATCTACTTTTTTCAAAACTTAGAGAATTGCTCTCTAGGAATCTCTGGATCTTCCAGCACATGACCAGCTTCTTCTGGAGTTGACTATAGAATCATGCTGAAGGAATTTCTAGATTCTCCAGCATGACTCTATTGGTCAATTTCCAGTAGAAGTTGAGTGTAGAGTTGCACTGAAGAACATAAAGATTCCTAGAGAGAACATTTTAATCAAATCCATGAATAACAACATGAATCTTACTGGCGAATCTGGGGAATGTTGCTGTCCTAAGAGAAGGCTTCTTGTGGGAGACCTCTGGGAATGTTACTTAATTGCAGTATTGAATCATTAGTTGAAAATGGGACTTTTTGAGGTCAACTACCCATGGGTCATATCCTTGTTTTAGCTCAGCATTGCTCTCCAGTTCATGGCACTTGGCCCACTAAGAAATACAGGTTGACTATCCCTTATCCAAAATGTTTGAGTCCAGAAGGGTTTTGCATTTGGGATTTTCCCCCCAGATTTTGTAGTACCTGCATTTAGATGTATGCAAATAAGAAGGTATCTTGGAGAGGGAATCCAGGTCTAAACAAGATATTTATTTATCTCTCATATAGACATTTTACACATTTTCAAATGTTTCTCATGAAACAAAGTTTATGTACACTAAACGATCAGAAAACAAAGATATCACTACATTTATTTACCACCCTCACAGACAATTTGGGCTTATGGGGTATTTTGGGTTTCAGATTCCCAGTTAATGGATGTTCAACATACATTGACTTTCTTCTGTTTCCCTTCCTTCAGAATTCTTCCACATTTTTCTTCTACCTTCACTTTGCCAATTAGGACAATAGGTCAATTAGATCAGATTAAGAGAACATGGTTATACAGAAGTCTCAAGGTTCAAAGTTTAGGCTCTAGGCTATATTTAAAAAATAATAATTAAAAAGGGATGAGGAGGACCTTATGAGAACCTAGAAAGCCACAGCTGATCTGGCTAGAGAATACTGAGATAGATAGGTTATTGGCATGTTTGTTTTGATTCAGCAAAGCCAGATAGGAGCACACTACCTGGTGGCCTTTAGATGATCATTATCACTGCATTTCCATCACCCTACTTGCAGTTGTCACCTAAATGTCACCTGAAAAGTGAGATGATTTGATTCTTCAATGCTACCTGCAAAATGGTTTGCAGGACAGTGCAATGTGCATGCTCCTTTTCCAGCACTATCACCAGATCTTGACTGAAGCAAATATAACTCCAACATAAGCCACTTATGGTCATATTGTCTTCTTGCTGTTTGCAGAATTTGATAAGAAAGTGCATGAGAGATCTCTGCAGGGTTGCTTTGCAATCCCCACCCCCAACTGCCTTCTTGATTGGCGGATTATGGTGACAGGAAGATGTTGGCCAGGAAGAGCATCATCCCTGAAGAATATGTCCTTGCACGAATTGCAGCAGAGAACCTAGGCAAGCCGCGCATCCGGGACCGCCCACGCAAGGCCCGCTTCATTGCCAAGAATGGAGCATGCAACCTGGCCCACAAGAACATCCGAGAGCAAGGGCGTTTCTTGCAGGACATCTTCACCACTTTGGTGGACCTGAAGTGGCGCCACACCTTGGTGATCTTCACCATGTCCTTCCTATGCAGCTGGCTCTTCTTTGCCATGGTGTGGTGGCTGGTGGCCTTTGCCCATGGAGACATGGAAATACCTTGTGCTACCACTGAAGATCCTAGCAAGCGGAAGCCGTGTGTCACCTGTGTCAGGTAAAGTGCATTTCTAAAGACGACTTATGAAATGCTAAACCACTAAATATCAAACTGCAAATCAAGCCTCAAATGTAGGTTAATGCCATTCAACTGAAATGGGTCCTTGGTATCTGTTACAGTTTAATTCCAGGACCATCCTTGGATAATCTGTGAATGTTCAAGTCTCATTATATACAACAGCATAATAAATATGATATCCACTATCTAAAAATGGGAAAAAACAAGCTTTGCTTTTTAGCAATTTGTGGGGGAGGGGGAGGAATATCTTCAAGCCTTGGATGATTTTATGGATGCAGAATTCAATTATATGGAGGGCTAGTTGAAATAATTGTAGTGCATAGACTAGAGGCACAATGCAAAGGTGTTACTCAGGACTACAAATACATGGCATGCATCTCTATGTATTGAGGGAAGTGTATGTTTAACAATGCCCATGCATTTCATGTGCATGGAAAGTTAATATGTCTTTGAGACAGAAATATATGAAATTATATATGGGTTTTTCAAGTGCTGGGTGTTAGGGAAAAAGCTACTAAAAATATAGCAGGGCATCCAAAATACAAACAGGATACTAATAATTGAGCTCACAAGAAAACAGAGTGTGAAGTGTTGTTGGGTGTAGCTTAGACAGGCAAAGCTGCAGAGTCCAATGTTAAAAATCATAAAAGGTTTATTTACAATAAAAACACTAAATGCATTCCTTAATAATCAAGAACTGGGTCTGAGCTACTCTAACACCTATCCCTTCCAAGGTTTCAAAGAGAGGGGGAAATATCATGCACGACATCTCTCCTGACACTCAAGTAGAGAGAGATCTCAAAGCACACAGCACATACTCAGATGTAAGCAGTAGGGCTGGGCGGTTTCGTTTCGTTAATTCGTAATTCGTTAATAATTCGTTAATTTTTTCAATTACAAAACGATAACGAACCATTCTGGAGCAATTATTTAAAAAAACGAATTTTCAAAAACGTTTTGTAAATGCTTCGTATTTCGATATTGTATTCGTTTCGTTATTGTTTTGAGGTCGTTTCGTTATTATTTCCGCATGTCTGGGCCAGTTTTATGTTTTAATTAGTGAAAAAAAATTATAATATCACACCAACAGTCAACAACAGAGGGAGAGGGAAGCTTCAGAAGGTTTTGGAGGTTTTTTAGCGTATTTCGCGGTCGCGTCCGCCATTAACGAATCGATTCGTTATTGTTTCGGAAATCGATTCGTTAATTTTTTACCATTTACGAAATTTCGTAAATATCGAACTTTTTAAAAGGAAAATTTTGTAATTATTTTAAATATCGAAACAAAAAAACCCCCCAAATACAAATCGATTTTAGAAACAAATTTTTCCGTTGTTACCCAGGCCTAGTAAGCAGAAGTAAAGGCTTGCAGTAGAAACATAACCAATCAGAATGAGAGTAGAAACAGAGAGGAGAGAGCAAATGGATGCAGTCCAACTGTCATTCAGGAGACAGCCTGTTCTAAGCTAACTAACTTGTTCCTCATTCAGGACTAGAGATTTGGGCAGTGTGGGGTTGAATCCCAGCACGGGGAAGCTCTGATGAGAAGAATCTGCAATAAATGGTAATTTTTACCCTTCAGGGTGTATTCTGCACAAAATTCACAGGAGAGTATTTTGTGCAGAAAAGGGTATTTTCTATGCAGAAAATATATATGTAGAAAATATTTCTGTGTTTCTAGCACACACAAAAATGATTTGTGAATTTTGTGCAGAATATATACTAAACCATGAATACTCTTCGAATATTGTTGAAGGCTTTGATGGCCGGAATCACTGGGTTGTTGTAGGTTTTGGGGGGTTTTTTTCGGGCTATATGGCTCTGAGGATGCTTGCCATAGATGCAGGCGAAACGTCAGGAGAGAATGCCTCTAGACCATGGCCATATAGCCCGGAAAAAAAAAACACCCTAAAACAACCCACTCTTCAAATACTTTTTCACCATGGGAAGAAAACTTGTTAAAATTACTCTCTGCTTCCTTTGTGAACTAATTTAACAAATGTTACACTGGTAGTGAGAAAACTTGTTTCATGATGTACTATATTTCTATATGCAATGATCTGAATCACAGAGATTGTCTTAGCCTCCTTTTACACTGCCATATAATCCAAATTATCAAATCAAATAATCCACATTATCTGCATTGAACTGGATTATATGAGTCTAAACTGCCATATACTCCTGTTCAAAGTAGATAATCTGCATTTTATATGGCAGTGTAGAAGAGGAGCCTCAGACTGGATCTACACTGCCATATAATTCAGTTCGAAGCAGATAATCTGGATTCAGATTATATGGCAGTGTGGGACCTAAGATTTCATGATCAGGCAGAATCTGGTGCCCATTGGATATAAATGTAGTAGTCCATTCATACATAATGCCCAGAGTGTCCTCTCATTGTATGTCAGTGTTTTATAACCATGTGCTGCTACTTTTTCCATCTCTTCTCCTCTAGGTCCTTCACCTCTGCTTTCCTCTTCTCTATTGAGGTCCAAGTGACCATTGGTTTTGGAGGCAGGATGATGACCGAAGAGTGCCTCTTTGCCATCATTGTCTTGATTCTCCAGAACATTGTGAGCTTGATCATCAATGCTGTCATGCTTGGTTGCATCTTCATGAAAACTGCTCAAGCACACCGGAGAGCGGAAACCCTGATCTTCAGCCGGAATGCAGTCATTGCTGTGCGTAACGGCCGGCTCTGTTTCATGTTCCGAGTGGGAGACTTAAGGAAGAGCATGATTATCAGTGCCTCAGTAAGAATCCAGGTAGTAAAGAAGACCACAACGCCCGAAGGAGAAGTCATTCCCATCCACCAGCTAGATATTCCGGTTGACAATCCCATGGAAAGCAACAACATTTTCCTAGTGGCCCCTTTGATTATTTGCCATATCATTGACAAGCGGAGTCCTCTTTATGACATCTCTGCCAATGATCTAGCCACCCAAGACCTAGAAATTATCGTAATACTTGAAGGTGTGGTGGAAACCACAGGGATCACCACCCAGGCGAGAACATCCTACATATCAGAAGAGATCCTCTGGGGACATCGCTTTGTGCCCATTGTGACAGAAGAGGAAGGGACTTACGCAGTGGATTACTCCAAATTTGGCAACACAAGCAAAGTGGCAGCACCCCGGTGTAGCGCCAAGGAGCTGGATGAGAAACCTTCCATTCTCATCCAAACGCTCCAGAAGAGTGAACTATCTCATCAGAACTCTTTGAGGAAACGGAATTCAATGAGGAGGAATAATTCCATGAGAAGGAATAATTCCATGCGAAGGAATAACTCCTCCTTCATTGTGCCAAAAGTCCAGTTCATGACACTTGAAGGGAACCAGAACACAATGGAAACATGACAGATCTGAAACCATTACTCATAGCTGTTTTGAGGAACCAATAGTGTTATTTCATTATTTGTGTAAATAAACCATGACTATAAACCTTTGATGAAATCAGGACATAATAATGACGGGTCAAAACAATAGAACAAGGATTAGGAAATATGTGGCTAGCAAGTAATAGTTAGACTACAATTCCCATCATCCCTAGCCAAAAAAGCCAATAATTGGGATTGAATACTTACAGTTACACTAAGAATCGAAGGACCTCATATCTTTCTTTATTTCAGGATTCCATATTCCCTAATCCTGAAACAAAGGAAGAGAGAAATACCATGGACCATGTTTGTAGCATTTCACTGTGACCTGAGGGATGCTCTCCACACTGAAAGAAACTTAGCATGCCAGAATTTAAAAAAAATGTTTAGAACAAGGGTAGCCACATTTATGCCTTAGCAAAAAGAGGGGAAATCCATTACAAAAAATCGGGCAAGAGTTGAATGTGTATGTATAGATACAATTTTGAAAACATTTGTTAAAAACTCAATAAAAATATAATACATCTCACCATAAGGGATAAAAGAATGGCCAGGTGAATTGCGTCTTTTTGTTCAAAATGTCAATGGAGAAATCTTAGGGTCTTTCTCTCCTTTGTAATAGTTGTCTTTTCTTTAAATAAAACTGAAATGGTGCACCAACACTGTAAAATTAATTCAGGTTCAAACTTCTTCAACTGTCATACTTCAATGCTATGGAATCTTGGGAGTTGTAGTTTTACCTTCAGTCTCCTCTGCCAAAAAGTGCTAGTGCAGTGGTTCTCAACCTGTGGGTCCCCAGATGTTTGGCCTTCAACTCCCAGAAATCCTAATAACTGGTAAACTGGCAGGAATTTCTGGGAGTTGGAGGCCAAAATACCTGGGGATCCACAGGTTGAGAACTACTGTGCTAGTGCCTCATGAAACTACAAATCCCTGGATTCTACAGCATAGAGCCATGGCCATTAAAGTGGTGTTCAACTGCATTAATCCTACAGTATAGATATGTGGTTCTCAACATGGGGTCCCCAGATGTTTTTGGCCTTCAACTCCCAGAAATCCTAACAGCTGGTAAACTGCCTGGGTTAGACCACACCTGGAATATTGCGTCCAATTCTGGGCACCACAATTCAAGAGAGATATTGACAAGCTGGAATGTGTCCAGAAGATGGCGACTAAAATGATCAAGGGTCTGGAGAACAAGCCTTATGAGGAGCGGCTTAAGGAGCTGGGCATGTTTAGCCTGAAGAAGAGAAGGCTGAGAGGAGATATGATAGCCATGTATAAATATGTGAGAGGAAGCCACAAGGAGGAGGGAGTAAGCTTGTTTTCTGCTTTCCTGGAGACTAGGACGCAATGGAACAATGGCTTCAAACTACAAGAAAGGAAATTCCATTTGAACATGAGGAAGAACTTCTTGACTGTGAGAGCCATTCAGCAGTGAAGCTCTCTGCCCTGGAGCGTGGTGTAGGCTCCTTCTTTGGAAGCTTTTAAACAGAGGCTGGATGGCCATCTGTCAGGGGTGATTTGAATGCAATATTCCTGCTTCTTGGCAGGGGGTTGGACTGGATGGCCCATGAGGTCTCTTCCAACTCTTTGATTCTATGATTCTATGATCTGGGAGTTGTAGGCCAAAAACATCTGGGGACCCCAGGTTGAGAACCACTTGTATAGATAACTCCCAACCTGAAACCAGAAGATACCTTTAAGAAAGGACTATCTTCCACTAAGTAGCATACATGGCACATGAGCCTTTGCTCTCCCATGCTCAATATTCATGAATACTGTGTGTGTACATGACAATTCAATTGATTTGAAGGGCTGCAGTCTAGCACAGCAGTGGACATTCTGAACAACTTCCTGAGCTCAGGAGGCCACCTTGGATCTCCACTGAAATTGATCTCCAGTCCATGAAAACCATCAAATGGTACCAGTTACTAAAAATGGCATCAAATGCAGGGTTTCTATTATTCAAGAGGGTGCCAAAGCAGGGCAATGGATTTCTTACTCTTCTGATTTTGGCAGCAGTTAACGTAGTAGCAAAGTGAGGTATAGAAAAGATCACAGTGGTTACATGTAGCCTACCAATTGCAACTTCTGGTCTAAAAATCTATCCTATTAGGGAACTGTAGTTCAATGTTGTAGGAAAATAATTCTCACTTCTACATATAGCTCTCCACATTTACTAAGGTTAGGGTTCAAAACCCTTAGGAATTTCGAGGTCCTCCAGTGCAATTCCGTGGCCAAGGTAACCATAGGAGTATGCTGGGAAACCTAGAGATTCCTAAAGAGTCCATATTTCTAATATCTCTATTTACCATGGTCCCGGTAGCAGACACCATGGCACTCATCAACCAGAGGTTCCCAGAAGACATCACGGCTCTGTTTCACCATTGCCTTACCACCAGTTACTTTCAGTGGGACAATGAATTCTACGAACAGAAAGATGGAGTAGCCTATGGGGAGCCCTCTCAGCCCAGTCATAGCTAACTTCTACATGGAACACTTTGAAGAACAAGCCCTGGAAACAGCAACCAAAAAGCCCACGATATGGTTCAGATATGTGGATGACACCTTCACCATTTGGAGCCATGGAGAAGAAGAACTCAACAGGTTCCTGGACCATCTTAACAGCATCCACCCAAACATCCAGTTCACCATGGAAAAAGAAAATGAAGGAAGACTGCCTTTTCTAGATGTCCTAGTCATCCACAAACCAGATCAACAATTGGGTCACACCGTCTACAGAAAACCCACACACACAGATAGATATCTACATAAAAACTCCAACCATCACCCAAGTCAAAAAAGAAGCACCATTAAAGCCTTGGCAGACCGTGCAAAAAGAATCTGCGAACCCCACCTCCTCCAAGATGAACTGAACCACCTCAACTGGGCTCTCCAGGCCAATGGATACTCCACCTCATACATCAGAAGAGCTGCAAGACCAAGAACAAGCCACGAGAGTAAAGATGAAGATCCACCCAGAGGAAAAGTGTTCCTGCCATACATCAAGGGAACCACTGATCGCATAGGGAAGCTGATGAGGAAACACAACATACAAACAATCTACAAACCCACCAAGAAAATCCAACAAATGCTACGTTCAGCAAAGGACAAGAGGGATCCTCTCACCTCTGCAGGAGTCTACCGTATACCATGCAGCTGTGGACAAGTCTACATAGGGACCACCAAACGCAGCGCCCAGAACACGCATCAAGGAACATGAAAGTCACTGCAGACTACTTCAACCAGAGAAGTCAGCCATAGCAGAGCACCTGATGAACCAACCTGGACACAGCATATTATTTGAGAACACAGAAATGCTGGACCACTCTAACAACCACCATGTCAGACTACACAGAGAAGCCATTGAAATCACAAGCATGTGGACAATTTCAACAGAAAGGAAGAGACCATGAAAATGAACAAAATCTGGCTACCAGTAATAAAAAACTCTAAAATTATAACAGCTAAACAACAGAGAGGAAAAAACCAGGCACAGATTAACACCTCCCAGCAACAGATTTTTCCAGGCTCAGGCAGGCCTTCAAATGCTAATGAAGGTGATCAGCTAAACATTCACACCTAACTGCAGCAGGGAAGAGCTCCTTGCCCCACCCCAGCCATTCCACAGATATATAAACCCATTTTTCCTACTTCCACAGACCTCACCTCTGAGGATGCTTGCCATAGATGCAGGCGAAACGTCAGGAGAAATGCCTCTAGAACATGGCCATATAGCCCGAAAAAACCCACAAGAACCTAGTCCATATTTCTCTGATTGTAATTCATATCCCTGTAGAAGTACCTTTCTTCATTTTCAGAAGGCACAACAGCTGTTTCCCCTTCTGGAAAAGAAAACAAAAACAAAAGAGCATTTGACAACACAAAAACAAAAGAACTTCTTTCTAGAGTTATCTCTGCCGCGTTCAGATTGTTGTACTGTTCTCCATGCCAGACTGACTCTAAAATTGTTTGGAGGCTTTAGCTGGTTGACTAGCTAAAGCCTCCAAACAATTTTAGAGGCAGTCTGGCATGGAGAACAGTGACTAGGTTAACTGGGATTTACTGTACTGAATGCATTATGCTTTGCAGTTTTGAAATGCAAAACACTTGCTGTTGAAATGCGCAATACTTAGAAGCAAGAATACTTGCTTCTAAGTATTCTGCAGAGTTCTTGCACTATGTTTCCTCTCTCAATGGGCTGGAAATTGCTTTTTCCTACAAGAGCTAGTCATCATCAGAAGCCAAGCTCTATGTGACTTCAGGGATCGGGTTGCTGTTGTGTGTCTTCAAGTTGTTTTCAAGTTATGGCAACCATTTTGAATCTATCACAGGGTTTTCTTGGCAAAATTTGTTGAGATGATGCTTGTCTTTGTCCTCCTTGGAAGCTGAGACAGTGTGATTTCACAAGGTCTCTCAATTGGTTTTCATGGCTGAGGAGGGGTTTGAATCATAGTCCCATGCACAAATCAGTGTCTCTATGGTGCAGAAGACTTGGGCCCCTTCCACACAGCTGTCTAAAATTCACATTGAACTGGATTATATGGCAGTGTGGACTCAGATAATCTGGTTCAAAGCAGATATTGTGGATTATCTGCTTTGATATCCTGGGTTATATGGCTGTGTGGAAGGGTCCTAAGAGGAAGGTCAAACTGAGGAAGAGTTATGGTTGACCAACATAATTACAGATCAGGTGGTGGTTGAAGTGGCAGCATATGCAGTGGTAGGGAAGTTGTCTCTAGCAGGACAACACTGTCATGATGGGTTTTGAACAGTTGAGCAGACAGGACAGTTTTCATGGTCTTTCTTCCATCCTTTTCTTTCCATTCTAAGGTGCCTTGACACAGGCATAAAAGACCATTACATTGGCATGACTCACTAAGGAGATTTCTTTTCTTTGGTGGCACTCCAAAGCCCTCTCCACCAAGAATGTGCTTGGCAGCCAACTCCTTTTTCCCCTTTTCTTTCCCCAGGGCCAAATCAAACTTGGCTTCTTGACACAAGCTTTTGATAAGATGTCATTAGGAAATGTTTCTCCTCATGTCTTCATATGATGTTTAATTTTAATGATTTTTTTTATCTATTTTATTGTATTGCTCAATTTATCTAAGCACTTCTACAAAATACGATGTGTCTTGCCTTTTATTGA